CTAAAGTACATTTTCCATAACTAGGAACCAACATTGGTATATTACTATTAACTGAACAAGGCATTTTATTCCCATTTCCTTTGGTTTTTCCCTAATGTTCTTTACCTTTTTTCAGGATTTCACCTAAGATGTCACATTACATTTAGTTGAAATGTCTCCTTACATCCTTTGCTATGTGACAGTTTCTCAGATTTTCTTTGTGTTTGATGACCCTGAGAGTTTTGATGAATATTAGTCCAGTATTTCATAAAATGTACTTAAATTTGGGTTTGTTTAACGTTGTTTTCCTCATGGTTAGACTGAGGTTATAGGTTTTAGAAGGAAGATCACAGAGATGAAGTGACTTCTCATCACATGGCATCAAAGGTATTTGCTAGCAACACAACTTAACACTAATAATAATAACCTTGATCACCTGAACAAAGACAAGGTGTGAATCTAGGCAGCTGCTACTAGTGCCAGACCTGGGCCACTTAGGGAGAGGTGGGGAATGGGGTGGGGCTTACTGAGGCTGCCTGTTGCTTGTTTGATAGGATTTAGGAAGTTGTGAAGCATGAGCCAATATCAGCCATTCACATGGAAAAGTCTCATGTTAACCCTTGAGTGGGCTGGTAAGTTTGGTTGGGTGGAGTCTCAGGGAATATCCAGGTTGAGGCAAACAGTGTTATCCAGTTTGGTGGAGTCTCAGATATGGCACCCACCTGCCAGTTCTGTGGCACTGTGAAGGAAGGGCTCAGAAAAGGCACAATGGCCTCTGCCTACCTTCCTGTCCAGGAGAAAACTACCTCCAGGTCTCACCTTAATGCCAAACACTTTAGTTCCTCTCTGCATGCCACTGGTGTCTTTCCAGCTGCTATCCCATGCTGGAGCTAGACAGAATGAGTCTGAGTAAGTCCATGTGTGGGTTCTTTAAGGGAACCTGCTTGGGACTCTAGAAGTTTCTTCCACCCACTTAATCCCTGTGGGTTTTTGCAGCCAAAATTTATGAGGACTTATCTTCCTGGTACTGGCACCCTGGGCTCAGGGGCCTGGTGTGAGGCTGGGACTCCTTGTTCCTGAGATATCCCTCCTGATTTTTCAGCCATCACGCATGGATATGGGACCAGCCTGTTCCATGTCTACTCCCCCCCATCAGTCTGGATGGATGTGATTTCTTTAATTCCACACTTTCCAGACTTTCATTCAGTGTAATTTCTAATGGTTCTGAGTAATGGTTGTTCTATATTTTAGTTGTAATTTTGATGTGGTTTTGCGAGGAGGCAAGCCACGTTAACCTATGCTGCCACCTTGACTGGAAGTCTCCCCACAATTAATTCACAATGCCACAAGTAAATGCAATCCTTTTGAAATATGTCCGATCATGTCACTAATCAAAATGCTGCCATGGTTCCAATGCACTCAAAATAAAAGCCAAACACTTAACAATGGCCTACCACGAACCCCTGATACCTCACTAATCTAATCTCCTCCTTTTTTCCTCCTTCCTCACTCCATTTCAGCTACCCTTCTGTATTATTCCCTTAACATGTTAATAACTTAACTACCTTCAAACCTTTCCTCCAGTTCTAACCTCTGCCAAGAATGTTCTTTCCCATCAATTACAACTGGTTGTCAAGATGTTGCTCTTTTTAATAAAACCACCCTTGAACCCCCACCAGACACCTGATTTCCTTAACCTAGGTTCTTTCTCTTCCTACATAGCATTCACCATCTTTTAACATACTAGATGATTTATTTTTTTATTTTATTATTTATGTTTTATGCCATTAGAATATAAGCAAGGATCCCTTTTGTTGTTGTTCTTGTTGTTGCTCACTTATTTGTCCTTAGAGTTTAGCTCAATGCCTTTCACATAATAAGAACTCAATAAATATTGTAAAGTTAATACACAAACTACTTGTCTTAACAGGGAATCTTATTCTAATATGACTTCTTTTAATTGAAAAATTAATTTCTGTACCAGACCTGACAATCATTACTTGCCCAGACCTATTTCTTTTTTTTAAATTGATATGAGATAGAGAGAGAAACATCAATTTGTTCTTCCACTTATTTATGTATTCATTGATTGATTGTTCTGTGTGCCCTGACAGGGACTGACCTGCAACCGTGGCGTATCGGGACAACACTCTAATCAACTGAGTACCTGGCCAGAGTCAGCCCTCTATCTTAATAACTGGCAATATGCACTGAGTATTTACTATGTACCAGGCACTGTTCTAAGCACTTTACATGTTAATTCTGACAACAGTCCTATAAAACGCATGCTATCCTTGTCCCCATTTTTTTACATAGAACCAAGTAATATGCCAAAGAACATATCTGTTGAGGTTAGAACTAGAACTGGAACCCAGGCAGACTGCTTTAGGACGTACACTCTCAAACACTGCTCAACCTCCCTTCATCCCAAAAACCTGGAAAAAACAGCCCTAGGAAAACAGCAGTACATGCTGAATGAACTAGGGACAGTCACTTGAGACCTCAGAAAAGACATTCAAGTTACTGAAAGGTAATGCTGAGTTAACTCAACATAGGGAAGCAAAGAAGCCATGAAAAAGCAAGAAATACAGTGTACAGATAAAAGGATAAAGCATAAAAGGTTAGAGTATATGGACAGAAAAAAAAGAAGAGATGCTATACCAGGCAGCCTCAAAAAAAGACAGACAGACAGACATCAGCTTATATGAACTTGTAAATCCTAAATGAACTGTCTGACAACCTGAAACAGAATTGACCTTTGTGTACTTATAAAATACTTCTGTTGTTTTAGTGGAAGTCCATTCCGTGTCACAAAACCATCTCTAATAAGGACAATTTCCACATTTTTGTGGACCTCCTATAAAAATCTCTATCATGTTATGATGAAATAATAAGTCAATGTGAAAAGCAGTACATGTAGTACAAGTGAGTGAGTTTGGCGAAAAAAACCTAAACTTAGGTCCCATTTCTATCATTTTGCTAACTATATGACCTTGGGCCGTCTCCTTAAACTTTATTCACATATCTTCTATAAAAATGGGAATAATAACACGTGCCCAGACTGCTTCAGATGTTACTGTGCTAAATGAGATGGTGTTTGTGACTGGACTTTGAAGAATACAGAACACACACTGTTCCACAAACGTTGCCTATTGTAATGATGATTCAGATGTGCACTCACTTCGGTTAACTGTAAAGGAGGGCATAACATCTGCTCCTTCCCAAAGTAAGTAATACAATTATTCAAAGATTTACCAGTTGGTGATAAAAAAAATCACTGGGTGTCTGTCTATACATGCACACACCACCACAACCACCAAAATAAATGCCTGTGGATAGTCCGTCATTCACATGCAAAGATACTGATAATAAAGAAATTCAATGATTTAGAAAGAGCATTTAGCTTTCATTTAAACAGTGCCAAAAATAATGATATACTTCTTCTCTCATAAGCTCCTACTGCTTCTTCCTATCACAATGGAATCAGAATCAAAGAGTAAGAATTCAGGTCTTTCTCTTAAGATGCCACAATAAATCAACAGTATAGCCACAACTAAACTCAAGAGTCTTCCGAGGCAAAGCTGTGTCTTTCACACCATGTTCCTCCTATGTTACTTGGTTAAAATAACTTTTTAAGAGACTGCTAAATTGAATGGCATAAAAAGAATTATATCAAGGGTTATAATGTAGAGATAGTTCACAAAATAAATAATATACTCCTGCTCTACTTGGGATTTAGAAAAGGAGAATAGCACAATCTGACAAAAGCAGGACTTTCCAATGTTCATTCCAACTTTGCCTTCTGTAGCCTTCCTGATTATGAGGTTAGCCTATTACCAGACACACAAAGTAACTAATTATTTCTACACCCAACAATAAAAAGGAAGTTGTGCAAAATCAACAAACTGCTCTAAAAAATGTCAAATGTGACAATCAATGGGGAAAAAAGTTTGTTATAAGTAGAATTCAATCACTACCAATGTCCCACATTATAGTATTTTTGTATCTTAACCTAGGGAAAAAAGAATCATTTCAAAACAGAAGTACATGTTCACCTGGCTTCCAACTGTCTTTACCTATGGGTCAGTGTCATTATCTCTTCACTGACCTTCACTATAATCCTTGACAGTATGTATCTGACAATGTCAGGCTTTCCTAGAGCAAGTGCCTTTCGAACTATATACCACGTCTACAGGTTAAACAGATGGCCAACCAACCGCCTTTCCCTTTCCCTGTGGAAAAAAATCCCTCCAAGCACTCACTTTTGGCACTATAATTGCCATGAAGTGGCAGGTTGAGGCTCCCATGCAATCCTAGGTTCCAAGAGAAAGGAAACCACATCTTTGTTACTTGTAGGACTGCGTGCCAGTGCTCCGAACCCTCATTTTGCCAGGAGACTGCTCCCGACATATGCACAACGTCCCACCTGTCTTTGTGAGACTGCTTACGCCTTCACTGAGGGGCGATGACTGCTTTCCCTCGGTCTCCTCAGTCCCGAAGCCCCAGACCTCCAGCTGGTGAAGGGTAATTCACCACGCACATACATGAGGTATCTCAAAAACGAAAGCTAGTCTAACATCGGTCAAGGCCTGAGAGTAACAATATCTGCGGTACCAGTGATTTCTGCAGGCAAAATACAATCTCACGTTTAATGCTGTATCTGACTGCATTCATTTGGATAGGAACCTGACGTTGACTGTATTCTCCAACAAATAATTTTATTTATAGAATCAATGGCAAATAAAACAAATTTAATCCAACCTGTTCAGAAAGGAAAACCAGTTAAGCTAGTGAAAACAATGAGAGAGAGGAAAAAAGTGCCTTTCAAAAACTAATAATGGACTTTCTCAAGGTGACCAAAGAGAAACATAAGACATTATTTTGCCCTTTCACGTTAGGGGTCTACCTGGAAGAGCATGATGAACTACATAGAAAGTTATAATAAATTCACAAATAAACCACACAGTCTAGGACATCTGTTGACATGTTGCCTTGGCTGCCTCCATTAAAAGCAGCGTTACCTCAGTAAGTCCAATATTCTTCCTTTTAATGACATTCTGCAGAGAGTTGCTCAGAGTCCTGGTTAGCAACAGATTTGTAGATTTTCGGATCATGTCATCAACTTCCGTTGAGCTGGAAAAAAGTGCATAAGAGTTACTTATGCAGGAAACAGATTTTTTTGCAAGCAAATAAAATGAGACTTCTACTAATAGTAATAATAACAAAATAATAGTTGATAATAAATAAATAATGGCAGCAGCAAATAACATTTGTGTGCCAGAAATTATTCTAAGTACTTTAATAAATCAAAATTCATTTAACCTTCATAATAAACATATGAAACAGTTATTATTATCTGTACAGATGAAAAAATGGAGGCACAGAAAAATTAAGTAACTTGCTCAAGGTCACACAGTGAGTACAGAGGAAAAAAAAAGGCTTTTCACACAGGCAGTCCAGCTCGAAAGCCCACAGCCTTTACAAACTGTGCTGCACTCTCCTTAAAGAGCTGCCCAGCACAATTCCTCATCCTAAAACCATTATTTCTTCCATACTTCTAAGTTCCTTCACAGACTAATATTGGTAATTTTCCAACCTGGTGTCTCTCTGTAGACTTCCTACATAATTAGCTGGTAATAGTCCCCAAAAAGGGTATCTCTATTTCTATATTATCAATTTCCACATAATGTCTATTTTGATCTCATTCCAAAATAAGTATTTCAGTCCAGTAGTTTAATCCTGCATACATGTTTTAAAATCCCATTTAAGTGGTTTAAAATCCCTCTTACTATTCCAAGAGTAATCATAAAAACATTTTCTATTCAGTAAAGAAACCCAAATATAAAGAAAATTATGCCAAAGCTATTTTTATGTGCAATTTAAAAAGAAAACAGTCTTGCAAACAACAGACTAAGTTCAAGACCTGTACATCCTTCATGAGCCCATGAAAACATCACCCAGGATGGCTTTCTATAAAAGATATCCTTTTGAGACAAACAGTTCTTCAATAATAAGGTTACTATTATAATGATACTAGTTTAAACATATCAAGAACTAACTGCAAACAAAGATATGCAAACAATTCTTTGTCAGTAACTTATTGCTTGTGGACAATGGTCACAAATTTTATCTCATTTGTTTCTCTTTCTACAGAAGGAAATCACAGGCTTAGCAGTTGAATTAAAAGTCTTAAATTCTAAATACATAATAGGCAAGCTGCATTGTCATGCTATGTGGAAAAGAAAAATATTAGAAATAAATAAGACTCAAAAATGCAAGGCCATTATCAGTTAGGAAAAGAGATGCACGAAAATATTTTTATGGGGTCCATGTAGAGCCATATTTAATTGGCCAGTACTTTGCAGCCCACTGCCACCCTTTCCAAAATCATTATTGAATTGAAATCCTCCACTCCATACACAAAAGAGGCTAGGCACTGTGTCAGCAGAATACTCAGATAGCAATAATGCACAAAACACTCATGGCTCGGCTCCCATGTAGAAACAGTCCTGATTACATCATATCAGTTGTGATATGGGCTATGAACAAACACAGGTTGCTGTAATAATGATTAACACAATTGCCCCCAAAATCTGGTGGCTGTGATATTAATCACCCTCATGGCATCCTGTGCTTATTACAGGATGCTTTTAAGAAGCATCTCTATCATGCTTTAAGAAGAACTAACAGAAGTTCCACTTTTAGATGTGATGTAGAAGATCAAAAAAGTCTAGCACCACCTTCAGAACAACAAGAAAGTTAGGTGTAAGCTAAGAGCTATATTTTCCTTAAATGTCAATGAGGTGTAATGTGTAAATGAACTAAACGACACACGAGAACAAGGCCTTCAAAGGTGAGCAAAGAGTACCAGCCACTTTCACATCTCAGGCCCATACCCCTCTGGGTAGGTAGGTATATATGAGGGAGTAAGAGTCATAGGCTGAGAGGCTTCAGTGGGATGATGAGAAATCAGCTAAGCCCTTAACAGTGTGGGCTAATATTGTGGATTGGAATCTTGGAAGAGCCCACACACAAAAATAAACATACTGACCCAACAATTCTTTCCTAAAAAAAATTCTGTTACATAAGAAACAGTGGAGGCAGTGCTAGAAATCAGAACTCTTGCAGATTTTGCAAGGGATTTAGGTTCCAGGGCTATACTGAAATTCAATCCAAAGCAGCAAAAACTAAAGCTGAAACCAAGCCTCACTCAAATACAGTTAAGATCACAGATAAGCCCCAGGACAGAAGCTTTGGAATTTCAGCGTTGGACTTAAGAACAAAAAGACTTCTACAATGGCATTTGAAATCACAAGCAATTTAAAACTAATTAAAACCTAGACATTCAGTTCATTCAAGTAATGACGAAATGTACCTTAAAACGATTTATCAAGCATCTAGGAGTCACAGAAGAAGAAGGAGAAAAAAGTGAGACAGGAGACATATTAGCAAAATCATCCTCAAACCTGGTACAATTCAAGCCACAGATGTAAGGAGTTCAGCACACCCCAAAAAGAATTCATGCAAATAAAACAACACACAGGACCATCACAGTTGAACTCTAAATTACAAAGGTAAAGAGAAAATCATAAGGTGACCAGAGAAAAAAGACAACACATTCAGAGAAACAACGATGAGAGCGGTGACACGTTTCTCTCCAGAGACAGTGCAGGCAGACAGTGGGCTGATGCCTTCAAAGTACAGGGACAGGGAGGACTGTCAACCTGGAATTCTGTATCTTGAAAAATATATTTTTGAAAACAAAGGTAAAAAACATTTAGACAAATGAAACCTAAGAAAGTATGATACCAGCAGATATCCACTAGAAGAAATGCTAAACCAAATTCTTCCCACTGAGGGAAAATGGGACCAGTGGGAACCTAGGAAGGAACGAGAGGCCTGAAAGGGGCAAATACGTGGGTGAGTATAAAGACCTGCATTTTTCCTTCAATTTTAAAATGCCATTAAATGTTCAAAGCACAAACAGCATATGTTAGGGTTTAAAATCAGATGTATTAAGTGAAGCATATGCCAACAATATCAAAAAAGAGAGAAGATAAATTGTATTACACTGTCACATAAGATTTTAAAATTATATGTAAAATGATGTATTATTCAAGGTACATTGTGATAAGTTAAGAATTCATATTGTAACCCCCAGAAATAACACACACAATAAAGAAATAAAGAAATAAAATGTTATACTCAAATAAATGAACAGGGAAAATTAGTAATAATACCAAAAATACTTAACCAAGAAGAAGGAGGAAAATCAGGAAAAGAGGGAGAAAAAAATTAATGACAAGTAGAAAACAACAGCAAGAGAGAGGTTTAAATCAGAGCGTATCAGTAAATACATTAATATAGTTTCAAGGGGCTAGAACACAGGGGAAATGGGACATGTTGATCAAAAGGAACAAACTTCCCATTATAAGATGAACAAGTTCTGGGGAGCTAACATACACTATGGCAACTGCAGTTGAGAATACTGTATTGTATACTTGAAATTCGCTAAAAGAGCAAGCCTGAGTGTTCTTATCACACATACACACAAAATGGTAACTATGTGAAGTGATAAATATGATAGTTTCAGCATATATATGTATGTTAAATCATCTCACTGTATGCCTTTAAAAAGTCAAGTACTATCTAAATAAATGAGCAATTAAAAATAAAGGGAAAAAAGTAGTTTTACAATTATTTTAATTTTTCTGTTCCCAAAGCTATTTACTTTTTCATGTATGTAAGATTCTATCTCATAGGATATTCCTTCTGTAGAAAAAATTTCCTTTTATTTTCCATATATAGGTCCAAGAGCAATGGATTATCTCAGCTTTTGTTTGGCTAAAAATTACTTTGCCTTCATTTTTGAAAGATAATTTGCTGCTCACAGAATTCAGGCTTGATTCACTTTTCTCTGAGTACTTTAAAGATATTACTACAAATCATCAACAAAATAAAAAGACAACCCACAGAATGGTGGAACATATTTGCCAAAACATCTGACAAGGTATTAATATCCAAAATTTATGAAGTACTTACAAAAATCAAAACCAAAAAAAACCCAACCCAATTACAAAATGGGCAAAGGACCTGAATAGACACTTCTCCAAGGAGGACATACAGAGGGCCAATAGACACATGAAAGGATGCTCAGCATCATTAGCCACCAGAGAGATGCAAATTAAAACCACAGTGAGATATCACCTCACACCTGTCAGAATGGCTACCATTAATTAATCAACAAGCAACAAGTTGTTCGCTGGTGAGGATGTGGAGAAAAGGGAACCCTAGTGTACTATTGGTGGGAACGCAGACTGGTGCAGCCACTGTGGAAAACAGTATGGAGATAACTCAAAAAATTAAAAATGGATCTGCCTTTTCACCCAGTGATCCCACTTCTAAGAATATATCCAAAGGAACCCAAAACACTAATTTAAAAGAACATGAGCATCCCTATGTTCATTGCTGCATTATTTATAATCACCAAGATATGGAAGCAGCCCAAGTGTCCATCAGTAGATGAATGGATAAAACAACTATGGAACATTTATACGATGGAACAGTACTCGGCCATAAAAAAGAAAATTGTACCCCTTGTGACAGTATGGATGGACCTAGAGAACATTATGCTAAGTGACATAAGTTAGTCACAGAAAGACAACTACCATGTGATTTCACTCATATGTGGAATCTACTGAACAAACTGAACTAACAAGGAAAATGTGGACAGACTCACAGGTGGAGAGCAGGATGACAGCCAGTGGCCCCGGAGGTGAGAGGGTGGAGGGACTGAGTAAAAAGGAAATGGACTCATGGACACGGACAACAGTGTGGAGATTGCTGGGGGGAGGGGGATATAAGGGGACTAAAAATAGTGTAAAAAATACATTATTTTTTTTAAAGTTAATTTGCTACTGATAGAATTCAGACTGAATTTTTTCCTCTGAGTACTTTAAAGGTATCACTACATTGTCACTGGCTTGCATATTTTCTGAAGTGAAGTCTGCTTTAATTTTTATCATTATATCTGCACCTGCATGTAATAACTTCCCCCCAAATGCCTTTTAAACATTCTCTTTACCTTCCATTTTTATCAATTTGCATATGATGTGTTTAATATTTTTCTTTGC